GTTTTCTAAAAGAATTGTGGTTTTAATTGAAATAGGAAAAAAGAATAAGTATTTAGACAAAGAAAAGGGTAGACATATGAGGTAAAGAGGACCACAGTGAGCTTGTGGAACTAGGAGGTGGAAGAGGCAGTCCACCCTTGGGGTCAGATCTTGGCCTTAAGTCTTGGTGGCTCCGCTGGGAACTTGTGGATCCACCCTTGAGGAGACCCACTGTCTGAGTGTTACAGTATTTGTTCTTGATGATGAGTCTCATCTTTTCAAGTAGAAGTGGGGATTGGGGAAGAACACAACCTGGAAAATGACTTCCTCCAGCAGTTTACTGAGGTCCTCTTAGTGATGAATTCTGGGTACACAGTGGAGAAAGAGGGTGACAATTTTTTATGGTCCTGAAACACATTACTTATCAGTTACAACAGCACACAATCAAAGTAGAGGGATCACTAAGGTTTGGCTTCTGTTTAGATGAGAATATGGCAACGACTTCCCAATAGGGACCATGACAAGTAACCTAAAAAGGCTCTGGTAGGCCAGCCTGGGAATCCGTTTGCTTCTAAACATTTTTGTCTGAAAGAATGCATTCATTTATTCAGCAAGCATTTATTAAGTGTGTAGTTGTAACCCCCACAAACACATGGAAATTGAATAACACCCTCGTGAACAACCAATGGGTCACAGAGGAAGTTAAGGAAGAAATTAGACAGTTTCTACAAGTAAATGATAATACCAGTACAACAGACAGGAATCTATGGGACACAATGAAAGGAGTTCTACATGGGAAATTCATAGCAGTGAATGCCCACATTAGGAAAATGGAGAGAACTCAAACAACCTAATGCAGAACCTCTAGCTTCTAGAAAAAGAAGAGCATAACAAACCCAAAGCTCATACAACAGAGGAAATTATAAAGATCAGAGCAGAAATCAATGCAATTGAGACTAAGGAAATGATACCAAAAAAATCAATGAATCAAAGAGTTGGTTTTTCAAAAGAATAAATAAAATTGATAAACTTTTAGCCAACATTATCAGAAAAAGGAAAGAAAAGGCTCAAATCCATGCAATTAAGAATGAAAAACGTGAAGTCACAGGAGATCCCACAGAAATCCAGATCATTAATACCTACTTCAAGAACCTATACTCTAATAAAATGGAAAACACAGAAGAAATGTACAGATTCCTAGACACATATGAATTGCCAAAGTTAAATGAAGAAGATATAGAAATTCTAAACACCCCTATTACAATGAGTGAAATTGAAAATGTAATAAAAAATTTACCAACAAAGAAAAGCCCAGGTCCTGATGGCTTCACTGCCGAATTCTACAAGACATTTAAAGAAGAACTATCACCATTACTCTTTAAACTGATCAATGAAATTGAAAGGGAAACAATACTCCCACATTCATTCCTGGAAGCAAGTGTTACTTCAATTCCAAAACCAGGGAAAGACCCAACCCAAAAAGAGAACTACAGGCCAATCTCCCTAATGAACATAGATGCAAAACAAGATACTGGCAAACAGAATACAGAGGGCCATCAAGAAGATCATACACCCTGACCAAGTGGGATTCATCCCAGGGATGGAGGGATGGTTCAATATATGTAAATCAATAAATGTCATACACTATATTAACAGAGCCAAGGACAAAAACCATATGATCATCTCAATAGATGCAGAAAAAGCATTCAACAAAATTAAATACCCATTCATGATAAAAACCCTACAGAAAATTGGATTAGAAGGTCTTTATCTCAACCTGATTAAGGCTATCTATGAAAAACCAACAGCCAACATCCTACTAAATGGTCAAAAACTGAAAACTTTCACACTAAAATCAGGAACAAGACAAGGATGCCCACTATCACTCCTGTTTAATATTGTTCTTGAAACAATAGCCATAGCAATTAGAAAAGAGAAAGAAATAAAAGAAATAAAGAAAGGAAAAGAAGAAGTTAAACTGTCATTATTTGCTGACGATATGATACTTTACATAGAAGACCCAAAACACTCCACCAAAAGACTTCTAGACTTAATTGACAGATTCAGTAGAGTAGCTGGATATAAGTTCAACACTCAAAAAACAATAGTCTTCTTGTACACAAATAACAGACTCACTGAGAGAGAAATTAGGGAAACAATTCCTTTCACAATAGCACTCCCCAAAAATGAAATATCTAGGAATCAGTTTAACAAAGAAAGCAAAAGACCTCTACACTGAAAACTACAGCACTCTGAAAAAAGAGATCGAAGAAGATATAAGAAAATGGGAAGACATCCCTTGTTCCTGAGTAGGAAGAACCAATATAGTGAAAATAGCCATACTTCCAAAACTACTACATAGATTTAATGCAATGCCGATTGAAATTCCAACAATATACTTCACAGAACTAGAGAAAACAATCCAAAACTTCATTTGGAACCAGAAGAGACCCAGAATTGCAAAAGCAATTCTAAGCAACAGAGACATGGCAGGGGGTATCACAATCCCCAACATGAAACTATACTACATAGCTACTGTGATAAAAACAGCATGGTACTGGCAAAGAAACAGACCCGAGGATCAGTGGAATAGATTAGAAGATGCAGAAACAACTCCAAACATAATCAGCCACCTTATCTTTTTTTTTTTTTTTGTACCAGGGATCAAACTCAGGACCTTTTGCTTAGGAGGCAGGTGGCAGAACCAGTGAGCTAAATCCCCGGCCGGAGGCAATACTCTTAAGTGAAATAAATAGAATGCACATGTGTAAATACAGAATAGTTTCTCTAGTGTGAGAAACTGAAAGTGTAAATAAGGATTAAAGTAAGTAATTGGTAATTTGAAATAGGAAGAAAAGGTCTAAAGGGGGTAGGGGAAGTAGGAGGGGAAGGGGAAAGGAAAAAAGGAAAAGGAAAAGGAAAAATTATGAGAAAAGAAAAAATGGAAACAGAGACTTTGTAAATAGGGAAGGGTGGAGGGGTGAAGGGCACACAGGGAATGGGGAAAAAATAAGAACCAAGATACATCATGTCTAGGTACAAGCACCCAATGATAAATGTAAATGTACTGTATACCTGAAATGTACCAATAAAAGAATTTAAGCAAAAAAAACCCAAAACTGTGTAGTTGTGGCAAGGAAGTGGTCCCTGTCATCAGGCACGTGTGCAAGGATCTGCCGCACCAAATGATTTAGTTAGTAATTCAAATAATAAATGCAAAATGGAGGACTCACATATTGTGTTACTAGGGGTACGAAGGATTTCAAATGTATACATTGCCTCTACCTGAATGTGAGGGAATCAGATACACAAAAATGTTCTAGCAAAAAGATATTGTCTTCTTATACTTTTTATACCTACTCTTAAATATATTTTAGGAAAGCAATGCAAGGTGTTACTCTAAATTATGATATAAATACCATTAATGTAATTATGATATAAATACCTGCTGCATTTTCTCACTGGTCTGTCTTATTAAAGCTTTGCATTTAAAAGGGGCTGGAAACAGGAACAAAATCTTTGTAAATAGGGAGGAGTGGAGGGGTTGAAGGGAGGGAAGGAGAATGGGGGAAAAAAATAAGAACCAAGTGTAGGAAAAGATTTTATGAACAAAACCTCAGTTGCCCATGAACTAGCACAAAAAATCAACACGTGGAATCTCTTATTAAAAAGCTTCTGCACAGCAAGAGAAACAACCAACAGAGTGAAGAGACAACCCACAATGTGGGAAAAAAATTTTCACCTGCTGTTCCTCAGACAAAAGTCTACTATCTAGGATCTATAAAGAACTTTAAAAAAATTAGACCTCCAAAATTTAAAAACCCAATCCAAAAATGGGCATTTAAAATGAACAGACATTTCTCAAAGAAGTAGAAATAGCAAATAAACATATGAAAAACTGTTCAACATCACTGGTCATTCACGAGATGCAGATGAAAACAACACTGAGATTCCACCTCACTCCAGAAAGAATGGCTGCTACCAAAAAATAACAAATGCTTGTGAGGTTGTAGGGAGAAAGGAACCCTTCTCCATTTCTGGTGGGAGTGCAGACTGGTGCAACCACTGTGGAAATCAGTATGGAGATACCTCAAAGAACTAGGACTGGAAGTCTCATTTGACTCAGCTATTCCCCTGCTGGGGATCTTCCCAAAAGAATTAAAAGAATCATACCACAGTGATATAGGTGCACCCATGTTCATAGCAGCACAATTTGTAATAGCTAAAGCTTGAAAGCAGCCCAAGTGCCCATCAACTGGAGACTGGATAAAGAAAACTGTGTTTTTTCTTTATAAAATGGAGTACTACTCAGCCATAAAAAATGAGAAATTAGAAACATTTATAGCTAAATGGATGCACATTGAACCCATACTCTTAAGAGAAATAAATAGGACACACGTGTAAATACCAAAGTTTCTCTAGTGTGAGTAAAAGTGTAAATAAGGACTAAAAGGTATAATAGATAATGTGAATTAGGAAGCAAAGGGGCAAAGGGGAAGTAGGAGGGGTAGGAGAAAGGAAAGAAGGGAATGGAATTAATATGAGAACATGAAAAAATGGAAACAAAGTCTTTGTAAGGGAGGGATGGAGGGGTTGAAGGGAGAGCAAGGGAAGGGGGAAAAATAACCAAGAGAGACTATGTAAAGGTGCAATTTCCAATGATGAATGTCATTATATTATATACCTAAAATGTACCCATAAAATTAATTTTTAAAAAAACAAGATAAATCATGTAAAGGTACAAATTCCTAATGATGAATGTCATACTGTATACCTAAAATGTACCGATAAACTTAATGAATTAAAAAAGGGGGGGCTGGGGTGTGGCACAGTGGTACAGTACTTGCTTAGTATGCAGTGAGGCCCTAGGTTTAATCCCCAGCACCAAAAAGAAAAAAGAAATATTTAGTAAAATGGATTTTCCATTGTAGCATAGTAAAATGGAATTTTACACTTATTTGAGCAACCACATAGGGATGCAATGTGATGTTTTCTGCTCTATCTTTTGTTCTCAAACTCAGGAAAAACTGATAGACTCACTTAGTAAAAAAATTAATCAAGTGTACAAAGTCTGCATTGGCGATGGTGAGGTTGGCAGCCTGAACCCAGTTCAAAAGCTGGTCAAAGTGGAGTCACGCCTGGTGGAGCTGAGCGACCTCATCGAGTCCGTTCCCAAGGAAAATGTGGAAGCAATCGAGAGGCTGAAGCAGAAGGAGCGGCGGCAAAAGTACAGTCCCTGTCTTGGGGAAGAAGCAGAGTGAATGACTTAATGAGTGGCTGCTTTGGCTCACATTCCACCTTTAGCAGATCTCACACGGCAAGGACTTTCCAGTCTCTCTTTATCTATAAAATGGTAGCAACATGCTGCTTAGCTCCTAGGGTTGTTATGTGAGGATTCTATAGTCCATGTAAAAGCACTGAATGCCCTTGGCACAGAGCAAGCCCTCAGATGTTATCCCTTAATATCAGACGTCATGCTGTTTCTATTAGTACATGAAGTTCACACTCATATTGAGGAGCAGGTATATGTACATGACTCAGCTTGCAAGCTTTCCCTTTTTAATCTCCTTCCCCTTCCCTCTCTTTTACTCCATTACTGGCACATGGGAAATATTGATCCAACCATATATCAAAGTCCCGAATATATTAAGGTGATCCTGATAGGACCTTACTGAATAGCAAGCAAACTTAAAAATGACTACCTACATGGAGGATTACACTTTCCTTAAGATGACCTAAAACTCATTACCAGACTTGTGTGCTTTTTACAGTAGGAAATATATTCGCTTCAAAGATGAACTGCAACTCATTTTCAGCAGAGATGAATCAATCCCCATTATTTTCATTATTGAAAAGAATTTTAGCAGATTTCTTCCATGTTTTGGAGGCATCTAAAATAGCACCTAAGTTTGCACTTAATATGCTCACTCAGTCAATGTCATTTTCATCCCTTAGTGTATAATCTTACACTCATGTAATTATGTAGCATTTTATATGCATCGAGTGCCTATTGTGCACCAAGCCTTATTACTAGACAATTCACTTAATGTTTTTCCCTCATAACCCTAAAGAGTAAGACAAACAGGACTTACTAGTCTTAATTTAAGGATATCATTTGAAAAGGTTAATTGGAAAATACACTTTTGTGGTAATACGTTGAGCCATATACTTCTGATTTGCATGCTTTCTGTATAAATGTTACACTTATGGGAAAAGGCTGTAAAGGGAGGGCAGGGATAGCTGCAACTGAATTTAAGTGGCTATTATACACCCAGTGCCGAAATGTAAGGGGAGGGACAAAAAGGCTTGGTCTTTAAGACCAAGATCTGGGTGGATTTTACTTCTTCCAAAGTGGCAAAATGAAACTGTTCCCATTTCAAAACAGGATTTAAAATTTGCCTGTATATTCTACAGCCACTGTTGTGGGAGGTCTTACCTTTAGATAGTTCCTTACCATGATAGAATCCTTCCTTTCTGTGAATTGCAGAAAAAGTTATATGAAAATGTTTCTTCCCTCCTATGACAGGCTGCGTGACGAGAAAATAAAAGAAAAACAAAGATACCAAGAAGAAAGGCTAAAAGCTGCTCTGGAAAGGGCAGTAGCCCAACCAAAGAAAAAGGTCTGTTTGCTACTAGGCCCAGCCACATCAACACGACTGCTGATGCGGTATAAAAACAAAACACCTCATTCTTCTGACTGTTCCAGGTGAACTTGAATGTGAAAGTCTCTCCAGCTCATGGCTTCCGATGGTCTCACTCTGGTTCCTGGTTATTTTTGGAGTAATTCAAATTACTAGGTTTACAGTTCTCCATTAGACCCACTGTTTCACTAAAAGCAGCCCCTTCCCTCTCCTCTTTCTTTAATCCTAGGGTCATAAAGCCATTTTTTAAATGACTTTTTTGAACAGGCAGTACAGGCATATGGTTCAAAGTTCAAAAGACAAAAGAGGATTCAGTGAAGAAAGTCTTCTACAGTTCCCTTCCCTGGAGGCAACAACCATTAAATTTTTTCTGCATCAGTAGAGAAATACTTTATATAAGAAAATTCCACCAAAAGACTCCTAGAATTAATAACCAGAATCAGCAATGTAGGATACAAAAGCAACGCACAAATAATCAATAGTGTTCCTGTACACCAATAATGAACTCACTGAGAAATTAGGAAAACAGTACCATTCCCAGTAGCATCAAGAAAAATTAAATACTTAGGAATTAACCTAAGGAACTGAAAGACCTCTACAGTGAAAGCTACAGTGCTCAGAAAAAGGAGTTCAAAGAGGACATCAGAAAATGGAAAGATATTCCCTGCTCCTGGATAGGTGGAACATTATCAAAATGGCTATACTTCCAAACCCGATAGTTTTAATGCAATCACAATCAAAATACCAACAGCATTCATTCTAGAACTGGAGAAGAAAATCCTAAAATTCACATGGAACCAAGAGACCCAGAATAGCAAGAGCAATCCTGGGTAACAAGAACAAAGTGAGAGGCATCACAGTCCATACTTGAAGTCATATTACAAAGCTACAGTGATAAAAACAGCATGATGCTGGCACAAAAACAGACATGTGAATCGGGGGAAGACAAGAGAGGAGGCAAAAGCTGGGGGGGCGCGGGTGGCACAGGCCTGTAGTCCCAGCACTCGGGAAGCTGAGGCAGGAGGATCGCCAGGAGTTCCAGGCCAGCTGGACTACATAGTGAGACCTTGTCTCAAAAAAAAAAAAAAATCAAGAGAGAAAGCAGAAACAACACCAAGCACATTTAACTATTTGATCTTTGGAAAAGGGGATCAAAAAACACACTGGAGGAAAGATAGTGTCTAACAAATGGTGCTGGGAAAACTGGCTTTCCATATGCAGAAGATTGAATCTAGACCCGTATCTCTCACCATGGAGCAAAGATCTAAATGCTAGAACAGTAACAATCTGCTGGAAGATAAAACAGATCAAACTCCTAAAGCCATATGCGTAGGAAAGAACTTTCTGAACAGAACCTCAACTGCACCGGAAACTGTATCAAGAATCACCAAATGGTAAAATGGAGTACTACTCAGCCATAAAGAATGAGAAACTAGAGACATTTATAGCTAAATGGATGCATCCTGAGGCCATACTCTTAAGTGAAATAAATAGGACACACATGTAAATACTGAAGTTTCCCTGGTGTGAAAAACTAAAAGTGTAAATAAGGATCAAAATGTATAATTGATGATGTGAAATAGGAAGAAAAGGTCTAAAAGAGTAGGGGAAGTGGGAGGAGGTGGGGAAAGGAAAGAAGGGAAAAGAAAAAATATGAGAAAAGGGAAAAATGGAAACAGGGAAAGGTGTAAATAGGGAGGGATGGAGCGGCTGAAGGGAAGGCAGGGGAATGGGGAAAAAATAAGAATCAAGATACATCATGTAAAGGTACAAGATCCCAATGATGAATGCAACTGTATTGTATACCTAAAATGTACCAATAAACTTAATGCAAAAAAAAAAATCAATAAATGGAATCATAGCAAAAAAAAAAAAAAAGCTTCTGCACAGCAAAGGAAACCAGAGGGAAGAGACAGCCTGTCAGTGGGAAAAAATTTTTTGCCAGCTCTTCCTCAGAGGACTAATATCTAGAATATATAAAGTACTCAAAAAATTAGGCCCCCCAATAAGAAGCCCAGTTAAAAAATGGGCAAAGGAGAATAGACATTTCTCATATGTACGGATGGCCACTAAATACATGAAGAAATGTTCAACATCACCGGCCACTAGAGAAATGCAAATCAAAACAAAACTGTCATTCCATCTTACCCAAGAAAGAATGGCCATCGTCAAGAAATCAAATAACAAAAGCTAGTGAGTCTGTGGTAACAAAAAGGAACCCTTCTATATAGTTGGTAGGAATGTAAATGCCTACCACCACTGTGGAAATCAGTATGGACATTCTAGAAAAAACTAAAAACAGAAATTCTACTTGACCCTATTTCCCTTGTAGGTATCTTCCCCAAAGAGTGAAAGACATCGTATTACAGTGTTCCATGTGCACCCATGTTTATAGCAATACAATTCATAACAGCTAAATCTTGGAAGTAGCCTATGTCCATCAACAGATGAATAAAGAAACTGTGGTATTTACACACAGTAGAGTACTACTGTGCCATAAAGATAAACTTGAGTCATTTGTAGGAAAATGGATGCACTTAAGAGACCATGCCTAGTGAAATAAGACACACAGACTTAAATGTCACATGGTTTCTCTTTTATGAAAAACCCAAAATATAAATAAAGAGCAAAGTAAAGGACAGATAATAGTAGAGATCTTTCTCAGATGGAAAGGGGATCAACAGATGGAGGGAGGGGGAAGAGAAGGGAGGGGAAGGGGAGGAAATAGATGTTATGTATATGGACCAGTCGAACAAAAAAGGTAATCATTATTTATTGAAAACATGTACTAATAAAAAAATTTTAAAATCTATGTATTACCGCGCTCATTTTCTTATAAATGGTAGCTATGAATCTTGCTTCTTCCACTCAACACTGTAAAGTGAATTCAGAGAAGCAGATGTAACTGAAAAGGTCTTCTAATTCCTACACTGTTCAGATAATTAGATAATTGCAGTTGAAATGATTTGCTCCATCATCTCCAATTCAGCAGAACTGGGACCCAAAGCCAACTTGATTGACTGACGGTAGTGAGACGGAACCCAAGCCTCACACATGCTGGACAGCATGCTCACTGGCCTCCCCAGCCCCAGAAGCCAACCTCCTGCATACTCTGCATACTACACGGCACACCCAGGCTGCAGCTGGGGACCAGGCAGGCGCTGCTTGTGGCCTGAGACTTCTCGGGGAAGAAGGGCCCTTGGTCCCATGTGCCCCTCCACCTCCTCCTCTGGGATAGGGTCTGAAACAGACCCCAGGAGGACAATGCCACGGTCACCTGCACAGCTGAGGTGGACATGCAATTCTTAGCATAGGGACAGCTAATGCACAGGATGCGCTTAGAGGCAGCGCCTTCAGGGGAGAATGGGAAAAAAGTCCTGAAAGACAGTAACTTAATATGTCAAAAGTGATGATTACCTTAAAATACTTTATTTAAATAAGTATATTATCTTCAAGAGTCGGTATCAACCTACTTCAGTTCTTCCTATGAATCTTCCTCACATTCTTTTCCGAGGGGAGATTTAACCACTCAACACCTGCCAACGTGTACTACTCAGTAAATCCGCCAGGCCAACTCTTTTCAATACAGCCACCTTTCCTTCTAGACCTTTACATCACTGATGGCTGGCTCACAATGAACACCCAGACTAAACATGAGGATGAAAACTAAACCTGGAAGTCGGAAAAAATGGCCATGTCTTATGTCAACACACAAAGACCTTTGACGGAAGTTTACAGGATTAGGACACTTCATCACAGGCAACGTTCTTAGACAATATTAATAAATGTTACCAAAGACCACTGAGAATTTCAAAACACCCTGACATTAGAAGAGAATTCAGGGACTCCGGTCCCACAAGGGCATTTCTGACATCAGGGGTAAGAGTGACAGTTACTAGGATCTTGGAGGTCAGGCGTGTGGGGCATTCTGCAGTGCAGGCACCCGTGTCCCGGGAGAGCTGTGCTGCCTGGGAGTCAGCAGCGACCCTTCTGAGACGGCGCCATTCCCTCAAATCTCCAGTTCAACAGTGAGGAGTAGCTGCCTCATCCACACATTGAATTTACAGAAATCCCCCATGACTTACTTGAGCATATACACTTCAGAATGAGTAGGTGTGTCCCTGGGGTTTTCCTAAGCCTCTCTTGGTGGGAAATCTCCAAGAATCAACAGTAATGCTTGTGTTGAAGAGAGCACATTTTCTGACATTTTTGTTTAACAAGATTTCTAAACACCAAGTAACAAAGAAATCTCCCAAGCATGGAGGAAAAACTGGCCGTGGCACTTGCAGAGAAATGACATACTGGCCTCCAGTACCACACTTTTCCGGGATGGCCATACTGAAACCATGTGCTACCTGCTGTCTGACCTATATCAAACCCATTGCCTGTCTGCTGCTTAGCAAGGCTCCTCAACTTGCTACTGAACTTTGCCCAGCATGTTGGATGAATTAGGCTATTAATCCCCTTGTAACTGTAAATAACTATTTAGTATTTTAAGCCATATTACTCCTTGTAAAATTCAAGTTGCTATTGGCATCTCATGTACTTTAACAGAAAATGGCCCATTTTTCTTTTGTTTCAGGTGGGAAGACGACTTATCCACCGTTCACAACCTCCACCTGGTAACAAACACAAAATGCTTTTGGTCAGTGACACAAGAACAAAATCACAGGAGGAAGATTTTTTTTTCAGTTGAATAGAAGCCGTAAGACATTTTACTACCGGAATATTTCACACAAATTCTGGCTCTCTCGAGGGGCAATATTAAGCCCATACGTGGTCCTGAACAATTCAAGACCGGTCTTTACTGTAAAGGCCATACACTGGTTTGGGAATGAGAGTTACTTTCTTTTGTTGAAGCTTTCTGTTTTCATAATTATTATTCCATATAGCTAAACAATTATAATTTGTGTTCTCAGTTGGGGTACGTATCCACGATTACTTTACTGATACAACTACACGGGGAATGACCATTAAAGTCCAATAATGGCCTTTCTCTGACAACATGAAAATTTAAATATTATCTCAAACGGTCTGTAAGGAAGTTTATAGCATACTGTTATCACTATGGAATGCATCTTTCAACAATGTACAACTCTTAAATATCTGAAGGGATCTGAGGGGTTTAAACTTAAGTGAATACTACTACTTAAATTTATGGTCTCAGAACATAACCATGAGACTGTATTTTTATTTCACATTAGGTTCTACTCAGAAAACTTTATTCTCTTATGTGAACAAACCTTATGTGTTCAGCCTAAATATCATTTCAGAATTTCTGTTGTGCCCTATCTCCACAATCATTTTAATTTTTAGATGTAATTTCAGCTACAATGTGCACATAATTTAGTTCATACTGATACAGAATATGTAGCCTACTAAAGTACTAAGAAAATGTTTATGCTAAAAGTGATTCAAAAAGAAAGTTTTTCAAATGTCTCAATATATAATGATATGAAAATGGCTGAAATTCACCTCATAAAAATTTCTAAAGTATATAATTATTCATTATAGAAAAAAAGAGAATATGGCGCTTACAAAAGAAAATCAACTTAAATGAAACTGGTAGTTTTTAAAGGATTAGACCTGTGAATTACCTTTCAATTGTTTCAACAGTTGAGCTTTGCATGTAAATATCTACATACGATAGTTAACAAGTCAAGCTGAAAAACAGCACATCTTTATTGTCTAGAAATATATATACAAAAACACACAAAAGATGCTATTCTCTCATTTCCCCATCTTCTTCTTCCTCTTCAACACCTCTGATATAAAGGACATTATTACACCTGCAAGCAGAAAAAGTCCATTTTGTTGTTTCAACAAGAAACCATGCATGATCTGAATTACTACTGCTAATTTTTTCATCATGATAATATTTAAAAGCTCAATTTATATAATAATTCCTTCTCTTTTAAAAAACAGTTTTACCTAGATTTGTTAAAAAGCACATTGGTACTTATTTTTTTACCATGTGATGGCCACAAATGAGATTTTTATGACTTTACGAAGAATTTGAGGCCTACTATCACTAAAAATGAGTATAACAAAACCCCTTAGGAACCAAAATCAATTAAAATTCAAAACTAAGTTCTGGTAACAAAGCCTACTGAAAAGGGTACAGCTGAGAACCAGGAAGTATAATATTAATACTAGAAAAATCTTTAGGATGCATAACTCCAAAGTATTTAAATTTTACCTTTGACAAATTTTACAGTTTCAAAGATTTCTGCAATTTAGTTGGAGAGTACTGTGTGGAATTAATAGTGATAAAGTAATTCTCAATTGAGGTACTAATTAAACAGGTATTTCTAATCCTCATCACTAATAAACTGCTGCTATTTATTACCTTATTAAAACTTCACCCAGATGTCCAGACAATGCCCCATCTATGTATTCTTCTGTATTTGCAAGCTTTAAAAAAGAAGAAATATATTAGTATAACTGCACAGGAATAAAGTAGTGTAATATGTGTATTACTGGTGAGAGAACTTAACTGAGAACTTTCTGTATCAACACTTCAAATTTATCTATAACTAACAATTAGAAGATTAGCTTTCTATTATTGTTATAGTTCTTTTTAGTCTTATGTATTCAGTAAAACTAATACTCGTGGATGTATGCCTTATATATAATAAAGCTTGTTTTAAATGTTGTTAAAGCTCCCAGGTTATGTGGTATTTCTATCAGATACCAAAGCAGTGTGTCAAGGAAGCAGCCTCCACCTTGTAAGTTGTAATTAGTAAGTTTTCTGAAAATTCAGTTTTAAAGAACCAGAAAACAACTTTTCTCAGAGCAAAACACTGTAAATCATATTGAAGTATCCAAATGGGTGTACAAAAGCTATAATTAAAATATATTAGTCAACAACCAAAACCAAAGAACTGAGCAGGAATTATTTTTTAAATTTTATTTACTAATGAACAGGGAAAAGTAAGTTCTTAAGAGGAGTTTAGTTAAGAGGGACCTATATAGTCATTTCTGAGACAGCTGTTATTTTTCATTTTAAATTAAATGTTCAACTTTCCTACTATATGTAGGTAATAAAATTTACTTGCAGTATTTAAAATCACCACCAGTGCTACCTGGGGCTCAAAAAGAACAGAAACAAGGGAGTGAGGCAGTTTCCTTCATAAGTGGGCTAGTGGACAAGGGAAAGAAAAACGGCTTTGAGGGGATGTGACTCATTTAAAACACTTCATGAATGAGTACTACCACTGATGTTATTCCCTTGCCTGTAGAAAACAAAGCACATGTAACCAAGAATAAGGGTTCATCTGAAATGTGACCACTGAGATGACTCATCTTTTGGGCAACAGCAATCAGAAATAATGTATTAATTTTTTTGGTACTGGGGATCGAACTCAGGACCTTGCACTTGCATGGCAGGCACCAGAACCACTGAGCTAAATCCCCGGCCCCCAATTTTTTAAAAAACCATTATTTTTAGCATGTTCTCCAACATTTAACTGGTTTCTACATTACTCAAAATGTCCCAACGGCTTCCTACCCTGTATTACAATCAAAGCCCTCACCATTGCTTACTAGGCTTTCAGTGACCTGCATGCCAACCCGACTATTGCTCTCCTCAGTTCACTGGCGCTGTCTGGCTGTACCTGGAACATACCAGGCAAGCCCCTGCCATAGGAGCCTTGCTCTGCTGCCCCCTCACACTGGATGCTCTTTTCCAGATACTCTCGAGTCACCACTTCTGGTCTGGGCTTAAATTCACTTCCTCAGCGTCATGGTTGATATCCAGGCACTGCACTCATAGGTAGGGCTTTTGGGAGAAGACTTGCTGGATTAGCCCACTGATGGGTTTGTAACTGGGTTTGGTGCTGGGAGGTGAAGCCTAGTAGGAGGAGGTGAGGCACTACTGGGTGGCCTGGGTGCGTATATATATCCCCCTCTTCCCTTGCTCATGCCCTGCCTGTTACTGCCACTCCATGAACTCTCCCCCATCTGCCACGCCACCCCGCCTTGGAGCCAACTATGGACTGAACCTCTACAGACTGTGAGCCAAATAAACCTTTCCTCCTTTAACTTGCAGGAGTCGGGTACTTCGTCTCAGCAATGAAAAAATAACAAAGACACTCAGAGAGGCGATCCAATCTACTACTGCATACTCTTGTCACTTCTTTTCTGCTTTCTTTTTCTTCATGGCACCTATAATATCTAATATTACATCGTATTGTTATTATCTCTAGATCACTTATAACACCTAACACATTTAAATGCTATATAAATAGTTAATACTGTATTGTTTACAGATTAATGGCAAGAAAAAAACCTGTACATGTTCAGTACAGATGCAATGCCCCATACAGACATTCCTTGTTTAAGGACCAAGTTAAATTCCTGAGACTAGGTTGCTAAATGAGGGATTGTATATAGTATGTATATTACAATGTTCAGAACAAAGAAATGGTCAGTGGAAACCAGCTGGATGACTTTGCTTTTATTTGTGTAACTCTTACATGCAGTACTGTAATGTATAACAGAAGATAAAGTTACAGAACTATAGAGTACAATCAGCAAAAATTACAGCACTGTATAAACAAGATGTACTGTACAAAAAAAGACATGAGGCTTCATCAAGATGTACAGAATCGTACTGAAAAAAGACAGGTTGTAAATCCGAGTGGCAGATCATAAGTCCAAACAGTCATTAAACAGGTAGGTCATGAAACGGGGAATATCTGTATTTTCAATCTGCAGTTGGTTGACTCTACAGATGTGGAACCCACAGACACAGAGCTGACTACATGCTACCATTCTACTTACATGTACTGAGAATAGACAAATTCACACAGACAGAAACAATAGTGGTTGTCAGGGGCTGTGTGGGGAAAAGGGAATGGGGAATTATTTTTTAATGAGTAGTTTTACTTTTAGATGTGAAAAAGTTTTGGAGATGAATAATGGTGATGGCTATAGAACAATGTGAATGTACTTACTGCTACTGAATATACATTTGAAAATGGTTAAAGACGAAAATTTTAAGTAAGTTCTATAAAAAAAAGCTGAAACATTTATAGAAACTAGTTTAATAGACATCCAGTCACTCCATCAATTTCTTTGATCTGTCTTCCCTATGAAGAAATACTTTTATTTGTTGTGCCTTTAGCATTAAAAGATTTAAGAACTTCTTCAAGAAAAAATTTCTTTCAGAAGTAGGTACTGGAAGTTTTGCTTTCTCTAGTAAACTAGTGTGTTTCCCTTATGGTATTATGGATCCAATGTCAAAGCACTTTTTTAACCACTAACAATAAAATGTGTAGCTCAATTCTGATTTAACTCCACATCTTATCTTAGTGTATCACACTTTCAACATCCTCCCTGGCCTTGATTTAATTCCCAAGTTCTGCTTTATGAATTTGTGAATAGTCTTAGTTACACTAGACCTTTGAGGAATACGCTGCAGCAAAATAAACAGAAATTTGTAAGCTTTCTAATTCTTTACTTACCTGCATGTTCATATAGCCATCTACAGAGACCAGGTAGCCCTTGTACTCCATTCCCCACTTCAGTTTCACCATCACTGGCTTTCCTGTTAATCCATTGAGGAAAGGTTTGGGATTGAGGGGTAAACTCTGTAAAGAACAATAAAAGGATTCAATTGATTCTTATTCGTTAGCTCAACATCCACCACTCACTGTCCTCTACCAATGATCAATTAGTATTTTATGGTATCCAAGGGCTAGTAGGGGTGTGGCTCAAGAGTGGCTTGCTTAACATGTACCAGGCCTTGGGTTCAATCTCCAGTACACAGACACACTAATGTGTGTATATAAAATATATATAATACACACATGATACCCAAATGAAACATTGATTTGCCTACATCACTCATTGTTCCAAGCTCTAAAGAAACACAAGTCAAGGCACTTTAAAAAAGGGGGAGGGGGTGTCATACAGAGTCCCTGTCCCCTAGGGTGTGGTGGGGGAGACATATAAACAGACAAATATTTATACTGCATATTGCTATGTAGTAAGATGAGAAATGCTATGCACAAGGGAAGGGTATCACACCAAGCAGGGCAAAAAGAAACGGAAAGGGTGCCTGAAATAAAAGATGCCTGTTTTAAAGGGGGAGATTACATCCACAGAGAAAAAGCTGTTCGGGGAATGGAGGCTACCTAGGTCAAAGGAGGGAAAGTCAAACAACAAGATAATCTCAGGGGACACAGAAACATTCTGTACTCAGTGAGAGTTCCAAATAAAAGGCAAGAAGCGGGGAGGGGCAGGGCAGATCACACTAAAGTCTTTCATTTAATGCTGGAAGCTAGGACTACATCTTTTGTGACTTTTTATCATTGGCAGTATCTCTTCAATGCAATCACCCAAAAACGGTTTACTCTGTCCACTAGTAGTACTCTCAGTGAGTTCAGACATTCTCCCTCTCATCTGCTCATCCCAAAGAAAGGAAAGAACCAGCAACTTTGGCTACTCAATCCCTCTAAAATTGGCATATTTTCAGAGTGATCCCGGAGGTCACTGGAATCACTGCCAATAACCTTCTAAAAGGGGTTCCTAATTTCACTCCACTTTATTATCCATGAAACAACAATTATTTTTTAAACTCTTCATCCAATCAGGTCATCTCTCTGTGTAACACACTTAACTACATGACTTCCAAACGCACTTGGAATAGACTCAAACAGAAACACTTTTTGCAATCAGCTGTATCTTTCTGTCAATCCCTCCAACTGATCAGGCCCTCTTCTCCTGCTCCCCGAGCCTGATACACTCCTCCTCCTCCTGCTTTTCAAGTCACTTAGACTTCAGGTTAACTCCCACATACTAGGGAGACCAACCCCGGCCAGCCCTTTAATGTACCCACGCGCCCTCACACCGAATCCTGACTTGCTTCCTTTTTATCACTTACCATGACTGCAACTGCGTATTTCTGTTATTTGACTAATGTCTACCTCCCAGGCATGACTGAATTTACCTACAGCGGAGTCTGCATCAGGATTTTGCACCCCATCTCCCTAAAGCCTAAGAACTGTATCTGGCAGGTAGCATGTCAATGAATATTTGCTGAACGAGTAAATGAATGCTCCAAAGCCTGGGCTTTGTGTCCCAGAGGACTACGGGGCAGGATTCCCAATAACAAGAAAGGAAAGCGGATTCTGGAGTGGCGCAGGATGGAGAGTGAAAACCAACTTGTTTAACTCTGATCCTACCGCCTCAATCAACAAGAACTACCTCAGGCCCAGATTCGTACAAACGGGGAAGGAGGCTGAGGTTGGCATCGCCAGGAGCGCGCGCCTCCGAAGCCCAGCGCCGCGAGGAAGGGAAGCGCGGCGCCCCGCGCGGATGAATGGGAAAAACGTGAAGCAACCCCAGGCCCCGCGAGGCTGTCACGACCCATCCCTCGCTCTCTCTCCAGGAATTCTCCTGTTCCTCACCATCGCGAATACAGACGAATGCTGCAGTCTCCTCGCCGCCGACCCAGCTGCCTTCGAGCCCTCGTGTTTAGAGAAGCCTCTGTAGGACCGAACCCCTGCGCGTCAAGAGAAATGGCCGCCAAACAGCAGCGTGACCTTTCACCTCCCACCACAGCTCTTTGAGCTCCTGTGATTGGACATAAAGAGGTGCGCGCTGATTGGAGGAGGTGGCTGGGGCAGTGTACCCTAGCAACCAGAGGAGGGGCGGGAACTTGAGCAGTACTGGCAGCTCGCTGACTGGTGAAAAGCAGTGGTCGGTTCCGCCCTGAGGGTCTCCACAAGGCTGCAGAGATCGGGGCTTCTCCTTTGCTCCCCATCCTCGAGCAGACGCCAGCTTGGTTAATGACGGGTTTACTTGGCCTTTTCATAATTGTGAGGATGAGATTGGATTGGGGCTCTCACAGATTCTGAGGTTTAGGGGGCGCCGGTGCCCCCTTCTTCCTGAGTGTTCTCTATTCACCGTTTATTAAGGAAAGTGGGAGTAGCGGGACTAGGGGAGGTGAGATGAGGTCAAGGTGAATGTAGAATAAGGTGTGAACTCCCTGCCTTTGTGTTCTGCGCGGCCATCAGCCCAGCGCGGGTGACAGTTAAGGACGGGGTGAATACACTATCTCGGTCTAAGGGGTCTGATGAACGACATCAATCGGAATCACATCGGCTCTTCCTGTCATCCCTGGCTTCAGATCATCCACCGGAAGTGCTGCTGCAGCTGCTGAGGACGCTCGGGGCAGTGCCGCTGCCCTGCAGCCCTGTAGACCTGAGCAGGACCTGCGCCCTCCGGGGGCCTGGCAGGAGGATGAGGCAGTCTGAGTTCAGAACCGCCGCCCTGCACGTGGGGAGGGTGCTGCACAGGGTCCTCACCCTCAAAGCTTTGTTTTCTCAGCTGTGATAAGACTTAGAAACCAGTGCCATCATCGGGGTTGCTGTGAGAAAAAGGAATTCATATAAAAATGGTAGGAACTGTGCTTGACTATGTAAGGGCTCAGTAAATGTTATTTGGGGGTTTTTGTTGTTGTTTTTATAAATTTTATTTTATTTTATCTCATTCCCCCCCTCAAGCCCTATCCCCTCCCTATGTACAAAAGTTTTGTTTCCATTTTTTTTCTTCTATTTTCACTTTTTTTCTTGTCTCTTCCTTTCTCCCTCTCTCCTCCCTTGTTCCCCTTCCCATTTGAACACTTTCTTCCCATTTCCCAACATACACTATAGATCTCAGTCCTTATTTCCACAGTCAGTTTCTCACACCAGAGAAACAGTGTGATATTTAAACATATGTGTTTGATTTATTTCACTTAAGAGTATGGTCTCAAGGTCCATCCATTTAGTCATAAATGTCTGAAGATCATCCTTCTTTATGACAGAATAGTACTCCATTGTATAAAAAACCACATCTTCTTTATCCACTCATCAGTTGATGGGCATTTGGGCTGTTTCCAAGATTTAGCTATTACAAATTGTGCTGTTATAAACATGGATCCACATATACTGATGTGGCATGATGTTTTTAATTCAGGAAGATACCAAGAAGAGGTATAGCTGGGTCAAAAGTAACTTCTAGTTTTAGTTCTTTGAGAAATCTCCACATTGATTTCCACAGTGGTTGCAGTCTACACTCCCACCAGCAGTGGAGAAGGGTTCCTTTTTACCCACAGCCCTGCCAGCATTTGTTATTGGTTGATTTCTTGATAGCAGCCATTCTTTCTGGGGTGAGGTGGAATCTCAGCGTTGTTTTAATTTGCGTCTTTTGAATGACAGTGATGTTGAACATTTTTTCATGTATTTATTTGCCGTTTCTAATTCTTCATCTGAGAAGTGTCTTTTTATTTTAGATGCCCATTTTTGCATTGGGTCTTTAAATTTGAGGGGTTGATTTTTTTTAGTTCTTTATATATTCTAGATAATAGTCCTTTATCTGAATAACTGGTAAAAAAATTTTCCCATGCTGTGGGTTGTCTTTTCACTCTGTTGGTGGTTTCTCTTGCTGTGCAAAAGCTTTTTAATAAGATGAGATCCCAGTTGTTGATTCTTTGTAGTATTTCTCGTGTGGTCTGAGTTTTGTTCATGAAGTCTTTGCCTACTCCTATGCCCTCAAGTGTTCTACCTATTCTCTCTTCCAGCAGAGTTAGTTTTCTGTTTTAATATTTAGATCTTCGATCCATTTCGATTTTAGGTTAGTGTGTGGTGAAAGATATGGGTCTAGTTTCAATCTTCAGCATGTGGAAAGCCAGTTTTTCCACCACCATTTATTAGAGACTATCTTTGTTCCAGTGAAGGTACTTGGTTCCTTTGTCAAATAAGGTGGTTGAGTATGTCTGGAGTTGTTTCTGCATCCTCTAGTCTGTTCCATTAAGCCTCTTTTGTTCTTTTGCCAATACCATGCTGTTTGTATGTAGCTTTGTAGTATAATTTAAAGTCAGGGATTGTGATGTCCCCTGCTTTACCTTTGTGGCCCAGAATTGCCTTTGCTATTCTAGGCCTCTTCTAGTTCCAAATGAATTTTAGGATTGTTTTTTCTAATTCTGTGGGATATACTGTTGGGATTGCATTGAATTGTGTTGATTGCTTTCCAATTTTGGGGGTATGGCCATTTTCACTATATTGGAAGACTATCCAAGAACAAGGGATATCTTTCCATTTTCTGATATCCTCTTCAATCTCCTTTTTCAGAGTATTGTAGTTTTCAATGTAGAGGTCTTTTACTTTCTTCGTTAGATTGATTCCTAGGTATTTCATTTTTGGGGATGCTGTTGTGAAAGGGATTGTTTCTCTAATTTCTCTCTCCGTGAGTCTGTTACTTGTATACAGGAAGGCTATTGACTTGGATGTGTTAACTTTGTATCTACCTACGCCACTGAATTTGGTTATCAAATGTAAAAGTTTTTTGGTGGAGTTTTTGGGGTCTTCTATGTAGAGTATCATGTCATGCACAAATAATGGTAATTTTACTTCTTCCTCTCCTCTCCTTATTCCTTTTATTTCTTTCTCTTGTCTAATTACTCTGGCTAGTGTTTCCAGAACTGTGTTGAAGAAGAGTGGTGACAGTGGACATCCTTGTCTTGTTTCTGATTTTAGAGTGAGAGCTTACAGTTTTTGTCCATTTAGTATGGTGTTGGCTTTTGGTTTGTCATAGATGGCTTTTATCAAATTGAGATAAAGACCATCTATTTCAATTTTCTGTAGGGTTTTTATCATGAATTTATGTTGGACCTTGTCAAACACTTTTTTCTGCATCTATTGAGAGGATCATATAGTTTTTGTCCTTGACTCTGTTAATATAGTGTATTACATAGCAAATGTTAATTGTTACTTTAATTTTGCCTATGTATTAATTTTTAGTATAGTTTATGCCAAACAGTTGTTGGCATTGTTTGCCCCCAAAGTTCCACAGATTTTTCTCTTAGTCAACCATTTCATGAATCTTTAGCTTTTATAGAGATTTAGTATTCACCCTGTTACAGTTGTTTTGGGAATGTCCACACAGTCTGTGATTGATTTGGATCTATAGCCCCAAGTTAGCCGTGAGGAAACAGGCCCAGAGGGTAACTTGTCCAGGGCTGTCCAGCTCAGGTTAAACTCCAAAACTCTGCTTTCCCTACTTCATAAAGCTACCTTGCAAAAGCACAATATATAGTTTAGAACTCTTTCATCCAGTTGTTTTCTCAGTGGAGTGAAACAAAATACTACAGTAATTTATGTAAAGATGGTTGTGTTTAAAGTTAGTTTTTCTCTTCATGTTAAATATTAGTCTTAAACACCTTATTTAAAATTAAGTGGGCACAGGTCATTGGTATTTTTCTAATTAAAAGTGTCACTGGGCTGGGGATTTAGCTCAGTGGTTCCGCCGCCTGCCTCGCAAGCACAAGGATGGAGTTCGATCCCCGGTACCAAAAAAAAAAAGTGTCACATATATTTTGTGAAAATTCTGGAAAAAAGTTCTAGGAAATAAATCTATAAGGGATGATCAAATATATGGTGAATGTTAAATTTTAAAAATATATTACAGAAAAAGACGCATTGCCATTAATCCCCCTCAAAATACTCCCCCTCTTCACACACTTGACCCATTATTCTTGCCACTTTTTGAAGCAGTTCTTGAAGTCCTCTTTCCTTAGTGTTTTTATGAGGTGTGATCAAAAATACACTGAATGCGGCTGCCGAGTACCATCCAATGGAAAGAGACAAGCTTGTAAAAACATTGGGTAGGTCCTCATTCACCTTATGCACTGGATCTGGCACTCTGAGACTTCTGGTTCTGCTCCAAAGTCAAAATCATCATGTAAGTAAATATTTTGAATCAATTCAGGACATCAAGGCAGCCATGACAATGCAACTATATATTCACAACTTCACTTTATATTGAACAAATTCTCCTAATTAAATATTCCTTCAAAATGTGATTTAATGTCTCCATCATACTCCATATTATGCAAATATGATTATTAATCATTCTGTTGTTTTCATTTCTCCCTCCACATTATAAACAATTTGTATTGAACATCTATCAAGTATATCTCTGGCTCTACCATAAGGCCTTAGAAATATAATTCCTGGGTTAAAGTACATTACTATTTTAAATATATATTGTGATATGGGTATATGGTTCAACAAAATATCCATCAGAATAATTAGCTCTAATATGGGAGAAATATTTATATTTTTAAGATGAAATAGAATACATTTTACAGTATGGTAAAAACTGAGTTCTACCACTGCTTAGCATATAACCCAAAAATTCCAATGGTTCACAAATATCTGAAAAGGGATTTATCAAGTGATCATGAAGTATTATTGGAGAGGAAAGAAACATACACATCATATATAATATATAATATAATATAACATGGTCTCCATGTTATGGTAGGATACTTCATGTAATCTGTCTTGTTTGAATCCTCACAGTATTTCAGGGCAGATATTATCCCCATTCCAGAGATGGGATGGGTTCAGAAAGGTTACATATTTTTGCTGAGACTGCATAGAAGGTAAAATGGCTCCAAAGCATAAGACTTTTCTTTACACAATGCTATCTTTCCCCTAAATGTGTTTGAATAGAAAACAAGTATATGGAAATACAAACAAAATACAGGATGATGGGGATAGTGTTTAGAAAGCTACTTTTGACATTAATTTTGATTTTCTTTATTCTCATACTTTCAGCATCTTGTTTTTATGATTATGGTCAGAGTCAGTTAGTTCTGACCAGAATGGTTTGGAGTAGGGTCCGAGATTTGGGTGCCCTCTGTCTGGTAGAAACTTTATACTTAAGAGATATGATTATTTTGTTTTGTGAAGAAATGAAGACTCCAAATGTATTTTTTTCCAACTCTTTTTGGTGGTTCAAACCCTGTTACGCTAGAGAGGAAACTACCTCAAAGGAACCTCAGTATTGTGGTTCAGAGCCAAGACCTGAGTTCAAATCCAGATTTTGCTATATGTGAGTTGTTCCTGCTTCGGTTTCCTTATCAATAAAGACAAGGATAGCACCCATCTGACAGAGCTGCTCTCAGAATACAGTGTTTGTCGTGCTCATCTGTCTGCCTGCTGCTCCTGAGGAGTTTCAGAGTGACAAGGCCTAAGGACAAGAGACCAAATTGTCCCAGCAGGATCACTGTGGGACGCTGTGTCCTACCAGAAGGGTACAGGCTGTTGGCTGCTTTGGACAATGTTTGCTCCTTGTTTAAAACATTCTGGGCCCTTGGCTGTGGTCCCTCAGCTCTGGTGGAACTCACTGTCTGTGATGCCCCTCTGGGGCCCCTCACTTGGCCCAATGGGATCTGGGGCTGATGAGCCACACAACCATGATGATGCCCCTGCTGTTTGCCATGCTGTTGCAAACAGCTGTCGTGCTGGGACCCACCGATTCTTGTTGTCTACTCTTGGCACCTTGGAGAGGTAGTGGGCTTACTCCTTGCCACCAGAAGTTGAGGTTCTTTCCTGAGCTTTCTCCACAGAGTTGACATTAAATGGAAA